TGGAGGGTGGAGGGTGGAGGGTGGAGGGTGGAGGATGGAGGATGGAGGATGGAGGATGGAGGGCGGAGGATGGAGGATGGAGGATAGAGGGTGGAGGATGGAGGGTGGAGGGCGGAGGGCGGAGGGCGGAGGGCGGAGGGCGACCCCTGCTCTGGAGAGCCAGCCTCTAGGCCACCAGCAGTCACCCTGCGGCTGTTCATACCTGTGGCAGAATCAGCTCCAATCAGCCTCGATCGAATCAGCCCCTCTCGTCTCTTGTTCCTCACTAATTTAATATTCCTCTGGAAAACTTCCAGGTGATACTCGAGTTTTCCTTGCAAGTCATCTGGGAAAATATCCCACACGTGACCATTGGTAAATGGCAGTACACGCCTGAGCCGGTGAGCGAGGTTCGGGCCGAGTCCCAGCCCACCGCGCCTTCCCCGACGCTGCCTGAGCAAAACGGGGCTAGTCAGCACAGCCCCCTGGAAAACCTTTTCCTGCGCTTCGCTTCTAGTGAAAGGCCAGGCCCCGGACTTGAACCTCCCCAGCACGAAGCCCCTGTGGCTGCCTAAGCACCCTGCGTGGTGAGCGGCCGGGGACTCCTGGCCTCTCCCAGAGCCACATCCGCGGCCCTTGAGCCTGGGGGGCGGGGGGGGGTGCAGAGTTCACATCCGTGGCCCAGCAGCGGCCACCACCTCACAATGACCGCTTCCCCAGCGAGCCACCAAACTCCTGCTCCGCAGAGGGTGCCCAGAGGGCGACTCGAAGCAGAGCAGCTGAGACAATTCTCCTCCTCACTTCCAGCTCCAAGAAATAAGTGGGCCTCAATTCCCAGAGGCTGGCAACTCCCCCAGAAATGACGTCCCTGGCAGGCGACGCAGTGAGGCCGGCTGGAGTGGCACTCACCCCCACGGGGGCTCCCGGGCCCCTCCCCTGGCCCAGCATCCTGCTGCTGCTGCTTCTCATCTTATTCTTCCCAGGCCATCCCAGGTCAGACTCGCAATGTGTGTGTGGGGGGGGGGGGGGAGACATCGCCGTGGTACTGCTTGCATCCTAGGGTTTGGACCCAGGTGTAAACCCGAAGGTGAATTCCAGACCCACAGGGCAGGCTTGTCCTCATAGGACAATCCTTTTAAAGTGCAGTAAGCTTAGAGAGATAATGCTTCAGTGCAGTTGGGCAAAGTCCAGTTTTTCATGTAAAGTACCCAGATCGGGTCTGGTCGCTGCATGAAGTCCTCATTCATCCACTCTCCGTGTACTTGAGAGAAACGCCCACTAGGACTAGCTTTCGTTGTTCTTGTGTACGCCAGTCCTGGAGCCTGAACTCAGGGCCTGGGCACTGTCCCGGAGCTTTTTTGCTCACGAGAGCCACAGCTCCCCTTCAGACCTTTTGTTGCTTAATTGAAGATAAGACTATCTCTGACTTTCCTGCCTGGGCTGGCTTTGGATCATGATCCTCGGGATCTCAGCTTCCTGAGTAGCAGGGATTACAGGCATGAACCCTTGGCACCTAGCTAACTAGCTACTTTTTAAAAATGCTGGCTTTGTTCCCTTCTCCCGATTCTCCCAGTTCTTCTCTTCCTTTACATAAACTACAGAAATTGCAGAACTACTCCAAACTCGCCATCTTTTCTCTCTTCCCTTTGGGGCTCCACAATGCCACTTTCTCCACCTAAAATACCTTTCCTTCTTCTTCTTTCCTCTCCACTTGGATAATTTCCAGCCTCTATGTGGATGTCACTTCCTCTAGAAGTGAGCTCTAAAGATGAGGTGACCTCATGAAAGAGTCATCAGGCCAGTCAGCCTGGGCACAGATGGCACTGGCACAGGTCCACTTTGAGTTCCACCCAGACCGCCTTTGTGTAAAATCCTCCATTGTCACCATTGAGAACCGCCCCCTCCAGCCGGTTCCATCCCTAGTGTCCCATCTTACCAAATTCGCTCTTGTCATCTACCAAAATAATTTCTTGAAGGAAGTAGGGTGGAGTGAGGTGTAGGATGCTGGACACGGTCCGGAGCAAGGCGTTAAATTCTTCATTGTGGAAGCAAATGATCACGCTGGCAGTAAGCAGATGAACCGGATAATTCTTATGATAACATCTGCAGGAATAAATAACAGGAAGAAACGATTCAGAGCTTGTGATGTTCTGGGTACTCATTCAGACTTTATGTTCATCTTTCTTCCTTCCATTGATCATTATGACCACACAATGACAGCACATGGAAGAATGTCAAAATTAAGTACAAAGAATTCCCCTTTACTACGTATATTCTAACACTCAGAATATTCTGTCATTCCCCTTTCCTGACGTTGCTGTGATCTTCTTAGTACAAACACAAATTGGGTCCGTATTTAGTTTCTATGATTAAAAAAAATCACTAAACACACACGGAGAGGTTCATATGACATATATTGTACAACCTTCAAAGAACTCACCATGCTTTATTTTTAGATTCAGATTATCTGCTGCAGCATGTGGTTGGATTCCTTCCATGTAGTTGACAAAAAGGTGCTTTTTTTAAAAAAAAGTATTTTGTGTGTATGAGGGAAACCTAGGAGCTGAGTAGTATTTCTAGCAAATATCAACCATTATTTATGCTACTATATCACCACTTGGTTACCTTGGAATTCGGGGGTTGTAAATTACTGAAACCTCTTGGAGCTAACTTAAAAAGCCAGCTCTGTGGAGGTGTACTCCTGGGTAACACGTGTGTGTCATACGAGGTCCGGGAGGTGCACTCCTGGGTAACACGCGTGTGTCATAGGAGGTCTGGGAGGGGGCCGGAGCTTCAGAGAGCGAGGGGCTGGAGCGCAGGCCTGCCGGCCACCTGGGCGCTCTCTCAGTGCTGCTCTGGTTCTCAACCTGGGAACAATAGACACGGAGCTGGGAGCGTCAGCCTGGCTCTCAGAGCCACCGGGTTCCGTGGATCACACACGTAAAATTCCAGCACAGCGGCTTGTTGCTTAGGGCTGCGTATGACGTGCTCTTTGTTCTCCTTCTGCAGAATGGCTCCTCGCTGTACACTTTGTCGCCTCCAAGGGTGGGAGATGTGGTCCACTGAGGATCTTATACTCAGTCCAACACCCAAGGAGGAATGGTAAGACTTTCTCTTTCCCTCCCCCCCCCCCTTGCCAGGCAACATTTCGTTGCCTGAGCTTGGCTCAGTCGCCAGTCCTGGGCTAAGGGCTGCGGCTGGCGGTGGGGTCAGAATATAAACCTATGGTTCCTGGGGAGCAGTTCCCCCGGGAATGCCGGAGCAGAAGGGGCAGGCGGGCGAGGCTCAGGGATCCTGGGCAGCCCCTGCTGGGCAAAGGTGGGCTGAGGGTGTCATGGAAGGAGACAGCAGCATTCCCAGCCCCTGCGTGGGCACGTGGGTGAGCGGATGATGGCTGTGATGTCCACACAGCGTGAGAAGTCACGGGGCCTGGGCCAGAGCTGAGCAGTCTCATTCAAACGCCTCCCCCCACAAACAGGACTGTGAAGGCGTAAAGTATGCATGCAAGGGTGCTTACCCAATGGTCAAAAACATTCAAAGCAAACAACCTTCACTGCGCCTTAAGAAACTAGAAAAAGAAGAACAAATGAAGCCCCAAATTAGTAACAGGAAGTTGATGCTAAAGACCAGACCAGAAACAGGAAGCAGATCAGGCCAACAGTAGATAAAGCTGAACAAAACTAGGAGCTGTGGGGCTGGGAACGTGGCTCAGTGGTAGAGTGCTTGCCTTGCATGCATGAGGCCCTGGGTTCGATTCCTCAGAACCACATAAGCAAAAATAAGAAAAAAAAAGCCGGGCGCTGGTGGCTCACGCCTGTAATCCTAGCTACTCAGGAGGCTGAGATCTGAGGATCGCGGTTCAAAGCCAGCCCGGGCAGG